AAACAGCACTGTTAATCTGGACAGATCTCTGCAGAGATCCAAGCAAGTTTTGTTAACCTAAACATCTGTCTTTGCTCTGATTATGATGTTGTTTGCTAAGAAAGCAAATATACCAGTTTTCAGTTATCTGGAGTGTAAGGGGAAGATCATCTTTCATAAATAAAAAGTATTTTCTGCTTTTTCTGGTACTATTTACTCTGGTAGTAATATGATAATGTGAGTTCTTACCCAGAAGGAAATTAAGCTATGTGAGATACAATCCATGTGCAATCTTAGACTGAGTAATCTATTTGTAGCTAGGTGGTTCAAAAATATGAAGGGGATCTTTGTTGATAATAGCTCTAAAGCATTTAGAATAGAAAGGGGATGATATAAATGAGGGCAACTGAAAGGGGAAACTACTTTGCATAAAAACTTTTCTGTTTTTATGCATTCATAATTTGTTTTCTTTCCCAGAACCACAGAATGGATCAGGTCATAAGGAGCCTCCCGAGGTCATCTTGCCTAATTCCCCCTGTTCAGGCACGATTACCTAAAGCAGGTTGCCAGGGCCATATCCATCCACAATTACAACCAAAATTAGTTAATTTCTTAATTTTGAAGTTTAGAAATAAAAGTCATGAAGAGTGTTTGTCAAAACCATTCCTTTACTATTAATTATATGACATAATTTTCTAGAAAATATTGACCATTGTTGATATTTATTTCTCACAAAACATACTGAGAAATATGTCATTTTTAAATTACTTTAAATCTAATCTGAAACCTATGTAAAATAGCCTTTTACTGCCAACTATCTTCTGTTTCTTTCAGCTTGTTTTTCATATGTAGACTATCTTGTTTTAGTGTACTTTTTTTTGTTGAAGAAGATAGAAAATAATGCACAGGAATTAAAATATTTATGGAAAGATAACTGGGTTTTTCACAAACCTGAAAAATAGGATAGGAGGCATTTTGACTGCATTTACAATTAAGCAAAATTTTTCTAGCATTCATTCAATGATTAGTTCTTCTATTGACTTATAAAAAAAGTTTCTCAGCATAAAAATCCTAAGCCTTTTATAGACAGAACTGGCTTTGCAAATGATTGCATCATGATCACACTTTTTGTTCCTTTTTTTTCACACATTTGAAGTTTGGTTTTTGTTGGTTTTTTGCTAACAATTGACTATAATGTATTTTTAGACTATATGGAAAGTTATTCTAAAATACACAGAAAAATTATAATAAAAGTAGCATTATCTGAGTTTCTTATTCCTCGTCATTTTCCCCCGTGTTGTCTGACATAGTCATTTGTCTCCTGACTCCATGTTCATCCTGTTGCCCTACAGCATGTTTTCACATAATGTGTGTATGAGTATCAGACTTCCAAGACAAAAAGCTGTGAGTGCATCTGTTCTGATCTTTGAATCACCTCACTTCTATAATGTCACATACATTTTACATTTCACTTTGGGGAAATTTTCATGTATTTTTGCCTTTCTATTCTTCCTAAAAAGTAATAAAAACTATGTAAAAACTCTGAAAAAGTCTCTCTGAAACTCAAGGCTATTTAAGTAATTTTTAACAATATATTGGACTGATATAAAATACGGCAATTTATCTTGCTTGATTAGGATGTCTGTGTGATTTAAGTACACATTAAATTACAAGATTATGGATTTTTGACTGAAGCAATTGTCCTGTTCCATTAATCATTTCAATATGGATTTTTTTTAAACTGCACGTGATTTAACTCATAAACCTTTATGACTTATTGAATCTTTGTTACTGAACCAGCAGCCACTAAGTTAAGTAATTTGTGCCACCATTTGATTTTGAAGAATGAACTGCTTTAGGTAAGTTAGAAACCAGGAGTGCAAAAATTATCTTTCAAGTGGAATGTTGTCATAAATAAAATCTGTTTTCACTACCACTGCTGCCTTTGGTGATAACAGTCAGTTTTATAGGGACTCAAAAAAACTTGCTAAGGTTAAAAAACTAACCAAATTTTTGAATTGTAAAGGAGCATGCTATGCACTGTCTATTTGTGATTAACAATTATTTCCATTCATCCCGTATCTGTGGTTCTAACCATTTATTTTCAGACATGAAATTTCTGTAATTTCATAATCTCACGAAATTCCATAAGTGTCAAATCCACATGTGCAGCAAAATTGAGATATGGTCTGAAACTCACAAGTCAAATATCACGTTCATCACTATTTCAGTTCATGTATACACATGAGCTATTAATTTGGAAAGTTAAGATCCTTTTCCAATAAATAAATGTCTTTAATTTTTTCATAATCAAACCTTTTTTTTAGACGTAAGAATGTTTACCAGTAACATAAATGTCTCAAAAAGGTCATCGATTTTAACTCAGAAGTGAAAATATTCAACAGTTTCTCAGCTTTATTATGTAAAGATTGCAATATTTTATTTAACTTCACAAGTTCAGTATGTTTAGATAAAACTGAGATCACTGTAGGAACATATCAGTTATCATAGCTACCTAGTAAAAGAGTTGGCAAGTATTTGCTCAGTTTTGCCTTGTTTTCCAGAATTTAGCCCAGGCTATTTTAATCCATACTTTTAATCCATACATATGCATGCACATACATTCAAACAATTTTGTAAGCATTCTTAATTATAATCATGCAGCCTTTGCTTCACAGTCCTTCTTTATGTTGAATAGTAGGTATTGAAAGAGAAATGCTTTTTATTGATAAAACTTTGGTACAGCAGGTTTTCTGGAAAATCAATCTAATTTTTCCTTATGATCTACAGATGCCTTAAATTTCATGACTGTTTTAATACTGAGTCAATCAAATGTGAAATTTTGATACATCTGCACAGCGTGAATGACTGTATACTGTTATTTTGATGAGTGGTAGAAGTAGAAATGAGGAATATGAAAGAAGAAAACACTAAGCAGAGTGGTACAATGCTATTAAATATCATCAGGCAAGATGATATCTTACTGTGTGTCCAATTTTAATGAAAAAAATCAAGATGAAACCAAATTAATCCAGTTTAATTAATTTGAAAGCATAGATGTCTCAATTCCTAGAAACTAGACATCATTCATTCTCTTTAAGTTACAGACAGGAAAATGTGCCAAAGTTCTGCATATAGTAGCACAATATTTTTATACTACAACTCAGTCACTGGGGTCTAGGGAGTCCAGCAATGGGGATCCATACTTATGAATGAAATGGAACAGCAGAAATGAGAGAAATTTAAATAAACATAAAATTGAAATAATTTAAAACTTCTCCTACTGTACCTATCAGTTGTTAGGGTTTTTTTCCTTCTGAATGGTTCCTCATTCAGGAATAAATGAGATTTCAGAGAACAACTTTTTAGTTATTGCATGACAATATAGTGCTTAGCACTCTTCTTGATTCTTGAATATTATGCTACAGATCTGTCTTCTTTTTGACTTTTATAAGCTTGTTTAGTCACTAAACCAGCAGATACTTCAACACATGTTCTTTGTTGAACCCGAGACTATGTGACAGTTTTAGTGTTTCCTATTGGCAAAATAATTAAATGTTAAGGTTTTGTTGTAGTGTTAGAGGAATAGACCTTCTCCCTGTCTCTGTTTATAGTCCATGAAATATCCAATAAACTGTGAGAGAGGGTAGTAGTGTTGATTTCACACAATGGAATTTGAAAAAGGCATTAATTTCCAGTGTGTTACAATAAAATCCAACAGGAAAAAAAATAAAAGAGAAAAAAAGAAAAACAGCAGACTCAACATTTACTTTAATGTGTATTCCATGGAGAACTGTCAATGATAATCCTCTTCCCAAAAGTAATGAAAGAAAATAGTGTAGATTACTTTTTAAAAAGGATGTGATATACAAAATCTGAATGGATAAAACACAGGACAAACATTCATTTTGGGGACCTTTTCACCATTGGTAAATTTACTAACTTGTTGACTGTTTATAAGACTGTCTTTATTTTACCTAAACTGTTTTCCTTATGTGATCATTACTGACATGGAAGACAGAGATTGCTCCATAGTTTTTAGTTAATGTAGAAATCAGTTTCACAAAGATACTTAAAAATAAATCTATCCCATTAGCAACATTCTATGAAATATGGGTTGATGTATTTTCCATAGCAGTAGTGTACCAGTGCACACTGGAAAATGTATTTTATTACTAATGGCATTGTTATAAATCAAAGGTTTCGTGATGGGTCTACTCACTGTTCAGTGGATCTCCAGAAGTTAACATAGTGGTGACTCATGCTCTGCTACTCTTTAAGCATTTGATATTAAATTAATCAAACTTAATAGGTGGATAGGTAGGGAATTGCATCCTAAAATGAATTGGAATAAGTTCTAGTTCAAACATCTGTGTCAGTATACCTGCAATTAGTGGTAAGGGTCTGCAGCATTCTGGTTAATTGTTAGCTCAGACTTCTTAGAAGAAGTCTCTTCAAGATAGTGGCTGAAAACAGTCTGTTAATTTGCTGTTTCTAAGCAAGAAGGTTCAAAACTCCTCACAGGTATTTTTAGACAGTAAGAAACAAAAACAAAAACAAAACCAACCAACCAAACAAACAAATTCTCATTTGTCAGTAAATAAAATTTGTAAGATCATATTGTTTAATGCCTAACCATGAAATTGTATGTGGGGACGGTATCTATATTTCTGTGTAATAGGAGTTGCTTGATGTGATATTCCTGACTGGTGGTTCCCTATACTTCACTTACATTAAATTTTGCTGACGTGATCTGTCAGCAAATATGTAGAATAGACCTTTAACATCCACGGAGTATATGGTTTAGGTTTTTTGCTTGTAACTAGCACAGCAAGGCTTGATTCTCATGTTTCTGGATTGTCCTAACAGGTGTTCTTGTACAAACTGCCAATGCACCATTTTGTGTCAGGGGTTCAAGGTTTGTAGCTGTGTAAAATTGACTGACAGCTTACTCACATGAAATATTTACAATACAAGAAAATGTCTGAGGAATTTGTCAACACTATTGATTTTTCTGTCAGATAGTCTACATGGGTTGGACAGAGGAACGGGAACAGGACTCCCTTCAGGATCGAATGTACACACCAAAGTTTCTAGCACTGAGAGGATCTTCCCTCTATAAATTTATAGCACCACCAGTAAGTATATTTCTTATACTTAGTAGGAATAAATGTTATTAAAGAAAATAATTTCATGTAATGTGTGCAAGGCTTTTGCAGTGAGATATTATTCACTAACAGGATTGCAAATAGCAGCATTGAAAAGTTCCAGGATATGTGGCATAGAAGTGACAGAAAGCATCTGTTCATCAGATGATTGAGCATCTTGCAAGAATTTCTTTCCTGCCATTTAACTGAGCACTTAGACAAATAAAAGAGAAATCTACTTATGTTAAAAGGCAGCTTTTAATTTTCCTTTGGCAGACAGAAAAGGCCTGAAGTAAGATGGTTAAATTTAAACTGAACAGTCATTCTAGTGAAACTGCTGAGATTTGGGGAAATAGCAAAGCTTTTAGCATGCTGTGGAAATGGTAATATGTCTGTATTTAGATTTCATCCAAAATGTAAGTTTTTTCTGCTAGAGAGCTCCGAAGGAAGGTAGGGAAGCAAATGAAATTGTTTGAGTTAAATATATTAATTGGAATCTGACTGGGAACACTGGGTAAAATTTTAGCTCTCATCGTATACTCAGCAATTTACTTTCACAGTTTGATGGTACATCTAAGCTGCAATAAAGATCCCCTAGCTAACTTTTAAGCCATTTGCTAAGGATTCAGTAGCAGTCCTGTGCCTGCACCAGGGACAGTCATGTGCATTCATTTTTCCTGTTTATTGGGTGACCATGCTGACTGCTGCTAAACCCTGTGTTGCCACATCCAGGCTGTAGCTCCTTCCTGTCTCAATCACAGAATCATAGAATAGTTCAGGTTGGAAGGGAGCTTTAAAGATCACCTAGTCCAAGCCTCCTAAAGTAACCAGGGACACCTTCAACTGGAACAGGTTGCTCAGAGCCTAATCCAACCTGACCTTGAATGTTTCCAGGGATGGAGCATATACCACCTCTCCGGGCAATCTGTTCCTCATGTGGTTCAAAACCAGCTTGCAAATCTTTACGTTGTTCATCAGTAACTATTCCTGTTTGTTTAGCAAAAGGTTTAAAAACATGAAAGACACGAGGAGTGGAAGTATGAACTGAAAACTCCATGTGTTCAGTGTTTGTACACTAGTTCGCTGGTATGGGTTTGGCTCTCCCATGGCTAGTAATGGGAGTTTGGTTTTCGTTGGTGGATATTTTTCAGGATCAGATTAAAATATCAGATTATGCAACTAAGCACCTTAATTCAAAAACCGTTCTGTCTTTGCTAGACCTACTTGAGCAACTGCTGCCTGGCAAATAAAGCCACCTCCGTTCTAGGCATTAGATAGCAGCAGAATCAATATTGAGAGCTCCTGTTCAATATAAAATAGAAGGTTATTCTTTTGAAAGCACTATGGAAGGTACTACAATCCTTTTTACTGAAGAATCATAAGTTTTCAGGAGTATATGTTTCTAGGGGCTAAATGGGTATTGGGGGCTGATTCTTGGGTGTGGAAGGAACATTTTCACAGGACCACTCTGAACCATGGCAATGCTAATAAAGGAAATTTTGGCAAGCTGCTATTTTATGAGACAAACCGCTCATCCTTGAATTTTTATATGTCCTATTTCAGCTGAGCTGCAAGCACAACATGATATTGTTTTGCCAGATTCTGGCTCCTTTATTAAAATAGAAAAACGATTCAGACATAGATATTTTCTCTCCCTGGAGTAGGAGGGAAGCAGAATGATAAATATGTTTTTTATAGGACAGAGGAAGAGTTCCTGCAGAGTTGCCTTAAAGACATATAGTCACAGTATGGTTTGGGGTTGGGGACCCAAAGGGTCCCTAAGGAACCTTAAAAATCATCTAGTACCAATCCTAGCATGTAATGTATTAATTGCACACTTATATGCTCAGAAAAATTTTCTTCTTATCAGTGGTTGCTGTAAACCTTCTAAAGGACATCTAACACCCTTTTTCCTGCATGCAAACACATAGAGTTGTTTTTGCTATGCTGCAGGTATATATGTTTGTCTCTTCCAGAGACCACAAAAGATTACGAGGAAAGTTTCAACGACACAGTTTCAGAGCTTCTATTTATGAGATTCATAAAATGTAGTTAAAAGAAAAACGGCTTTAATTATATTTACAGTGTAAACTCCTTGGATGAAGTTTTTTTCTGAACAGAGGTGTCCTGCCAACTTTTTTTAACAGAAAATCAAATGAAAGTATTTCCCCAGTCTCTGCCAAAGTCTAACACATTAGGGAAGCATCTGTTTAAAGAGTGTCTCTCAGCAGCCTCCCCCTACCTCTTTTTTCAACTGTTTGATCAATAGTACTTCTACTTCGAATACTCAGATAAAGGAGCACTCCTAATGTTACTTCTTTGCACTTTAAAAGTTTTAAACAAAAATACTTTTTTTTTTTTTCTGTTATATCCTGCTACATTTCCTCCTTTAGAATTATTAAGTGTATCAAGTCTGGTGCATGTCCAGTTTATAACTGGAAATCTCAGAGAGGATGGACTTTACTTGAGAAAGAGGCGTTAACACCTTTTCTTTTGCTACTCAAGCTTTTAAATTAAAACAGTAGAAGTGCACAGGTGAAGCAATTTCTATGACCGTTTTAATTCTTGCTCTTGCTTTGCACACATCCTTATATAGAAAGAGTATTGGTTTGACCTGAAAATAAGTCCCTTTATAGGTACAAACAGAAGTGGGGAGAAGAGGGAGGTCTTGTGTTTTCCACCAAAGTATGGAGCCTACATTAATTTTTTTAACATAGTTCCAAATGATTCTGTGCTTCAGCAGCCATAGTAACTACTTTTCCTGGTGGAGGAATACAATTTCAGCTGGTGTGGCTGGAGTTTTGGTCTCAGCAGGGCTGTAGCAAGGTTCCTCTCCCCATTTCTCTGTTTGTGGTGAGAAAATCATCTTTTTGTCCATAGCATAAAGAGTAGCTTTATGTTTTAGGAGGCATACTTCAATAAGATGGTGAGAACTGCATTTGAGGATGACTGTAAATAAATAAAATTCTAATAGAGGAGGAACTATAGCATTGTATTTTTGAATTTTTCACTGCTGCCTATGATTTCCTCAAAGGAGTTTCTATTACAATAATGTTTATAAACAAAAATTAAGTTAGAAATAGAATTTTCTCATACAACTGCAAAATAATTTTGATCAAGAAAGTTTTATGCCCCAGCAAACCCATAGATGCATCTCAGAGGTGTTGTATCTATTAATGATTATTTTCTCTTTAGATAACAGATAAATTACTCTCATATAATATTCTTCTTCCTGGCCTGAAAACAGTATTTTATCATAAATTTTTTGAAGAAGTTTAGGTTGAATTTGCAGAACCAATAATTCATGGTTTCATCAACCTCTTCGTCATGCCTAACAAATTTAATGATACAACCATCTTCCTTTGGAGCTGTGCCAATGTCTTACCGTAAAGATTATTTTTCTTTCATATATAACCTCAATTTCATTCTCTTTTGTGCCTTCTTCTGTATTTTGAGACTGTGAATATTCTCCTGTTTCCATTTTGCAGTTTCTTTGGAAAGTTATTTATAGGTCGTTGTGATACTGTCTTGACTCTTGCCTTATTGAGTATATTCATCTATCTCTTTCCATCCTATTTAAGTCTAACCACTTACCTTGCTTTTATGTATATTTGCCTCTTGTTTCATGGTTTGTTTTTTTCCCCCTGGATTTCAAAGCATGTGAGGTAAGTGTCTGGGACATTGCAAGGTTGGAGACTCGTTTTATGGATTTACAAATACTGTAGATGACTGGGAGCAAACAGTGGTGTGCAGTTACAAGGAGGAAAATGATAAGAAACATACCTTCTTATAGTCAGGGCACAGGCTTTCTGAGATGAATTCAAGAGCTGTATCCTCTCAGGATCCCAATGCAACCCCTACCAGTTCTCTGGGGAGGAATCATCATTCAGCACAAAGCAACCTGCATGCAAAGGCACTGCACTGTAAATACAGGGAGAACTTCTCCTAAGCACTGCCTGGATGGAACAGTCTGGTCCCTGGTAGTTATTGCTCTCAGGCAGTGCATGGTCTTTCTGTATATATTATACTGGATGTAAAGAGTTTAGGGGTATAGTTTTATTTTAGTTAATAAACTTACTTCCTGAAATAAATGAAAATAACCTAATTTCTTTTTTCTGTTTGTTTTTTTTTGTTTTGTCTTTTGGTTTTGTTTTTTTTTTCCCAAAGGTCACAACCTGGGATTGGACACGAGCTGAGAAAACATTTTCAGTTTATGAGATAATGTGCAAAATTCTCAAGGTATGATGAGAAAGTATAAAATAAATTACCATTTTGACAGATCAGTTGTCAAACCAGAGCATAACATTGACCACCTTGCAAAAAGAGATCTCTTTTTTTCCCTTTGAATTTAAATATCAGAAGTCCTGGTGTCAGTAGATACAGAACCAAACAAGAAGGCATGGCAAAATTGAAAATAAACTGATTTTGACTAGTAAACTACTTTGTATCTTCATAATTCTATATAGGATTTATAACTTTAATGTCACATTTAATAAGCACATTTCATTTTCTAACTGAGAAACTAAAGAAACAGTGATCAACTTGGTTGTTTTCAAATATATTGATGAAACTAGTAGTGGCTGCAATGTAAGATTTCACTAGGCCTGAGAGCTGTCATTAAAATATACAATACCATTTTGAAAACTTTTGTCTTTTTTTTTCTAATTTCTTCAGTTTGCCCTAACTGTAACAAGTGGGAAGAGATAATGAAATATGTTCAGAAAGTTAAAACTATGAGTAGAAAATTTAATAAGACCATTGTTGTGCATTGTTTTTAATTTTTAGATCTGAATTCAATCATAATTAATTTATCTTGTCTTCTCTCTGTTTTCAAAAACAGTGAAAAAACAGGTGCCCAAAATTATTCATGAAAAAAAAGGGGATGAAAAGAAATTGTCTTTTTCCATTAAACTGAAGTACCTTCTGGTGTATGTTGAGTTTGGGTTTTTTTAGATCAAAATTGTGTAAAATGTAATTTGGACTTTTATGGACTTCTATCTACTTAAATGCAGACTAGTATCGAAAAGAAATATGAAAAAATATTGTTTTTTTAAAAAATGTTATCCACTGGGAAGACCTTTTACTGACATAAATAGTACATTTCGCAGGTATTTTAGATCTCATAGGTGTACTATATTTTCCTTAGGGAGGCAGATTAGAGATGTAATGGCTCAATAAAATTCAGAAAGGTTTTCCATCTGAGACTATAATAAAAAAAAGAAAAGAAAAGAAACCGAGTTTATAGTCTGAAAAAAACTCCTTTGCTAGCAATCTGAACAGAAAAGTGAAAGATTTTCTTTCACTGCTATGGTGGCTGTGACGTCTGGAGACTTCATCAGGGAGTAAAACATCCCAAATGCAAAACATCATGTCACTGTGGTATGTCCTTTAACTACCAAGTCTGGGCAAATATTGACTCCTCAGAAGTGGTCATGTAGGGAGAGAAGTAACAGGAAAAGTTGTTCACTCTTTGAAGACGTTGCACTAAGAGTGTATACAGACAATGCTCTTAGGGCATTGTCTGGCTTTAAGAGAGTAAAAAAATCTCAAACACTTTCCCCTCTCTCTCCCCACACCCTCGCCCCCTCACCAGTAATCTGTAGTTGATTCAGGCCTTGGGCTTGATGCACTAAGCATCAAGGCAACTCTTCTTTGTCAGAGAATTAAGTGTGTTGGAGCCAGGATGATGACTCCTTATGACTTATGCAAGGATTTTATTATACTCCCCATAGAAATTTACAGAATGTATGCCATATAGTTTTCTGTAACCTAAAGATCCTTCATTTTGTTTTTTCTAGCCTTCCACCTTTGTTGATGATCTTCTCATTCACTCTTAATTTTAGCCATTTTTCTTTTTCCCCTTTCTCCTGTGTCCCCTGTTCTTGCATACCAATATATGGATTTTTTTTTTTTATCTTCTCAGCAATTTAGCAGAAGTTATTACAGTCCACAAAGCAGTAAAACCTAAATGCCTTCCTGCCAATTTTGTGTGGAAGCACAGAAGAGTACAAAGATGACATTTTTTCTTATTATCAGCCCTCCAAATTGTCTGGGAAGAGGTGTAGATCTTCCAGTCTCAGTCTGTATTAACAGATTGGCAGAGAGGCAGTTCCAGTTTAAGTGATATAAGAATATCATTTAGGTGTTTCTTTATTACTTGATTCATACTCAGATATTCCTTTGTTGTCTGTATATATAGTCAAGCTTTTAAAGGCTTGAAATGTTTCAAACAGGTTCTTTAGCTGACTAAAACCTGTAAATAATAAAAAGTAGAAGTAGAAAAATCATCCCAATAAAATGGCAGATTATGACACTGGAGTATTAATCTTCACTGTATTATAGTTTTCTACAGCAGGTACTATAGGACTTGGTTTCGCAAAATATAAAAGCAAATAAAACCAGGAAAACAGCCTCCCATTACTACTACTACATTGAACATCTGTAGAGACTCAAGGTTTTGTTCAATTTTTATGCCAGCACCATAAAAGTCTCCATTTCAGCAGTAAGTGTTTCTGGACACATTTGTGCAAGCCCTGTGGATATTACTGAAGCAGAGGCATCGTAAAAAAAAAAGTTATTCTGCTGTTTTGTGATCACCTTCAAACTTCTTCCTTTCTATACTACCTTACTTACTGCTTTTGTTATAAATCTGTTTACCTGGGAGAATGAGTCAAATGGCAAAAGAACAAGGTAACAGGGTTTGAAGTAATTATATATGAACATGATAGCTCAGGAAACCTAATGAGAAAATGAAAAGAACCCGGGTTTATTCCACTACAGAGTGTTCCCACTCCTGCACTTCCTGTTCTTCCATGGTAAAGACTGAATTCATGTAATTCTTTTCAGGAAGATTGAGATAATAGAATTATTCTGTGTTTCTACTTCAGAAGAGACAATAGCTGTCACTGGGCAGAAATAAACCCCAGAAGACAGTAATGCCTGTTTACAGGACAGTATCATCAATCAGTGCCTCGGAAGTGGGTTTAGTTCCATACTCTTGGCTAAACTCAGATTTTTCTGTGTACATATTCACAAGGAGTAATAGTGAATCACAGAATTTTAGAACAGTTTGGGTGGGAAGAGACCTTTAAAAGGCCATCTAGTCCAACCCTCCCTGCAATGCGCAGGGATGACTTCAACTAGATGAGGTTGCTCAGAGCCTTCTTCAACCTGACCTTGAATGTTCCCAGGGATGGGGACCTGTATAGGCAACCTGTTCCAGTGTTTTACTACCCTTATTGTAAAAAAATTCTTCCTTATATCTGATCTATATCTACCCTCTTTTAGTTTAAAAGCGCTATCACAGATCATTCCTAGATGGTGAAACACAATTATCTATCACAAATATTTATTTTAGAATGATCACTACCATGGATTTTGGGCCAAATGGACCATCTAGCACTCTCCAAAACATTTTGTGTTATGGCTTGAATGTTTTCTTGGTTGAAGGAGCATTTGTAATGAGTTGTTGCATGCATTTTAGGAGAATAAAAAGTTTCATAATAAGGATGTGATCTGTTCTCCGCCAGCTAGCTACAGTGTCGAAAAACGGTCCCATACACGCTTAATTTATTAGTATAGACACAGCTTTTGTGGCTCATATTTGCTTTAGGTAGAAAGACTTGCAGATGGTCTGTGCTAACCTTTGTGAGGATTAGCACAGGAGTGAGAAGCAGTGCTTAGAGGATTAAAAAATCCCCAAACATGTTTCCTTCTATGTTGATAGAAGGCTGTTGGGCAACCTGAGAATGCAGGACTGAGTGTGTTGATTGGGAATGCTGCCACACCTCTGTAGAGCCAGAAAGAGCAGGGATCTTGGCTCATGTCTTCTTTGTAAAAGTGAATTATTAAATGTTATCACAACATTTAGTAATCAAAATGTATCTGCTTTACATGAGTTGCTTACAGTGGACTGAGATATTTCAGTAAATTTGTCCATATTTAGACATATTCATTAGAAGCGAGGATGCAGTTGTCATCCAAGCTAGCTGGTATTATCTCCTCCTATACACTGACAATTCAAAACCTGTGCCTCATGCCACAAGGACAGTACTTTACTAAATCTGTCTGAAAGCACTTTTTTCTCCTTTTTCCTCCCGCTCCTTAATTTTAACTAAATTTCTGATGAGCTTCACAAGAATGGTTTTGATTAGAGAGACTTACTACTGTAACTTTGTCTTTTGAAATAGAGTAGTAATTTTTCTCAGTTTAAGAGATTTGTCTAAGTTTCTATTCATGACTAGAAGCTCTACAGTGGAGAATATGAACAGCCAGATCCTACTGAATACACGTTAATATTTCAGTGTTTTAGTATGCAAGAATAATTCTACTTCTGGTAGCAGTAAAAATATTAAAACACTAAATAAATATTCGTGTCTTCACCCAGCAAAGGACTTTACTGATTTAATTGTCAGGAAGGGTATATAGTCCAAATTTGTTAAATAAAACTCAGAACTCATCTGCCACCATGGCCAGTGTTTTCTTCATCATTACTTGCATGTGTTCAGTGTAGTTTCTCCTTCAGCATCCTTTCCAAAGGCTCTGACTCTTCTCATGAACAATATAGAACACTGGGATGCCATTTTCAATTTTTACAGTTCTCTCAGCCTCAAGCAGCTAGAAGGCAAGATGTTCTGCACCTTAATCAGAGATGTCAGAGATTATTGTGTGATTCATAGTTAGTGGATTCATATTTATAGTAGTAATTTAGGAAATCGCATTTTGTTGTTATATATTCTTTTTTTTTTTCTTTTTCCCCCATCAGACTACAAGGAAAAGAAAGGAGAAGCAAGGAAATAAGTCACTATTCTTAATGTGATTAGGACCTTTTAAATAATGAAGACCATTAAAATGTGAAACAGAAAAGTAGATTTTAAAAAGATGTCTTTTAACTGTATGAAAACCAGTTTTATTGAGAGAAATTCAGCAAAGGAGCATTGGTCCCCTAATTAATTACTTACAATTTTATATAGTAAAAAAGTGTAAAAGAAAAAATCCCAAACCCTGATAATCATTTTCATACACTACCATAACAATAGTGGATTAGAAGAAAAGGTTCTGTATAAAGTTTTCAAAGTATCATATAAAAATACATATCTCATAAATATAAATCTCTTCATTCTCAAGATTTTGGGGTTCAAGTAATAATTTTTGACATGAAGCATAGGTAAAACAGGCTAAGTACAAAAATCACATTTTAATTAAATTGGCCTAAATTATTCATTGTGAAATAATGGCAA